TGTCATTAATTTATATTTTTTTTTTTTTTTTTTTTTTTTTTTTTGACAGCATCTCACTAAGCCTCCAGATTACAAGCATGCACTACCGTGCTATGCTTTGTCGTTTCTCTAATGTTAGGTGGTTTTTGTTTTGTTTTGTTTTTTCCTGTACCGGGGTTTGAATTCTGGTCCTTGTGCTTGTGAGGCAGGCAGCGGAACCACTGAGCTAAATACCCAGCCCCTCTAAAGTTAGTTTTGAAAAAGATAGTATCTGTAGTGCCTTCCAGTTCTGATGTGCTATTACTACAGTGGGAGGCTTTTATTAAATAACTCAACCTAGGCAATAAATTAAGGAGAAATTATATTAGGAAAAACATGTAAACTGGATATGATAGCACACACCTATAAATCCTAGCACCTGGGAGGCTGAGGCAGGAGAATTGCCATGAGTTCAAGCCCAGCCTGGGCTACATAGTGACTTCAAGCCAACCTGAACTACACAGTGAGAACCTATCCAAAAAAACCAGCAACAACAAAAAGACATGTAATTGTGTCTTAGAAGAAATAGTATTTTTGTTAAGTTGCCTGTATTAAAGTGTGTGTGTGTGTGTGTGTTATTTTCAATTCTGTGCAACCTATTCTTAGCCAGTTATGCAGGGATTTCTTGGTGTAAGACAAGTAATGAAACTCAAATAATGTATGTGGTGATGGTCTACAGCTTTCAGCACATTCTCTGAAAGGTCTGTGATACAAAAAATTGGAGAAACTAGACTGTTTAACTGTGTTATCTCAGGTGTATTTATACTGGTAGGTTAAGGAAATGTGGTTTTGGTTATTTGCATGTAATTTTCTGTTTTTAACTAGCACTTGTTAACATTGTTTTCTCCATTAATGTGGTTTTTCTTCTGATATGGAAGTTAAAAATGATATGATATCATGGTCAATTTTTCTTCAGACCTTCATCAGAAACAGTTTTTGAAGATGCTTTCTGGCTGGATTTGAATTATCTGGAGGTTGCCAAGGTAGCTCAGTCTTGTGCTGCACACTTTACAGCATTGCTTTATGCAGAAATCTATGCAGATAAGAAGAAAATAGATGACCAAGAGAAAAGGTAATAGAATTGTGATTTTTAATAGTATTTTAGCAATACATAGTGATGACACTCATCATAGGGAATTTGCACCTGTACAAGATACATTCCTCCGCTTTTTTTTTCCCATTCCCCCTCTCGTCAAACCCCCTCCCTTCCCTTGTACAAAAGCTTTGTTTCCATTTTTTCCTTCTATTTTCACTTTTTTTTGTCCCTTCCTTTCTCCCTCCCCGCTCCCTTGTTCCTCTAACCATTTGAAAATTTTCTTCCCAGAATTGTGGGTTTTTAAATTGTTTTCCCCATATTTGCAAATGTTCTGCCACTGAATTACATCCCCAGCCCCAAATTACTTGTTTTAAAGCACGTATACCTAGGTTTAATTTTGATTAACATTAGGAGAGAATGCTTGACAAATAGGGCTTGCTGTTTGATTTGACAGTCTGTTTTGGTTTTATTTCCTTGGAGGTCTCATGAATAGGAGAGGCCAAACAGATAAAGTATATACAGAGCAGCTGGGCATGGTAGTGTACACCTGTAATCCTAGCACTTGGAAGGCTGAGGCAGGAGGTTCACTGCAATTTTGAGGCCAATTTTGGGCTACATAGTGGGTTCAAGGCCAACCTGCACTGTGAACTGAGAGCCTGTCTCCAAACAAACAAACAAAAAAAGTATATAGAGAGTTATAGAATGTTAGTTTTCTTTAGTGGCTCTGTTTGAATGAGGCTTTGTAAATCTATAAAGTGGTGAAGAAAAGCATAAGCAAAATAGGGATCAGCATTTATCATTGCTGTCAGGTTATGAAAATAAATCACTTGTTTAAATATCCTGTTCAAATTCTTTAATAGTAAAATTCCTCTTTTGGGCGTTCCTGATATGTATAAAGTTTTGTAAACTTGCTTCTGAGAAAGTAGGAAATTTCAACATTAGTGTCCTTAAGTTTTTGTTTTTTGTGTTTTTTTTTTTTTTTTTTAACAAAGAAAGAAATTCAGTTCTCTGCCTAATAGGATTTAGACAAGAAGTGTTGGTTCACCTCATTCATTTTAATATTCCTCACAGAAGTCTGGCAAATACATTATGAATATATTGTCTGAATAAGTTGCAACCTTGGATTTACCAAGTCATAACCACTAATATAATCTTCCCCACTTTCCAAATTTCTCCTCCAAAATTTTTTTGAAACATATGTGCCAATAAGGAAAATATATGTGCTATCTAGTATATAAAGCTTATAAAGCAAAATAGAAGGTTGTCAGTGGTATTATTACGGAGTGCTCCCCTCTGCCTGTCCTCCTAAATTCCTTCCAAGAAGCACTGTAAATATTATTATTGAGTTTTGTGTTTATTATTCCTTCAGATGATGTTTCTACCATTTAAATATGAAATGTAGTTTAGTAAATTCTCTACTTGTGAGCTTTATAAAAAATTATATTTTATATGCCAATTTTTTGACTCAGGATTTAATAAGACTTACCTATTGTGTCTATTGCTCTAATTTTTTACTGCTATATAATGTACTGTTGGGAGAAGATTGCACAATTTTTTTAAGCCATTCATCTGTCAATGAAGTATATTTTAAGTGTAGAATTGTAGATTGCAAGGCATATAAATTTTCAACCTTCTAAGATAGTAGCAAATTGGTTTTTAAAGTGGTTATACCAGTTTGTATCAGAAATGTAGTTGGTGGGTCAGGGATTTAGCTCACTGGCTCCACCACCTGCCTTGCAAGCACAAGGTCCCAAGTTTGATCCCTGCTACCAAAAAAACAAAAAAGAAGTGTAGTTGGTAAGGAAGTAGATCAGTAGAAAGCCTTATGTTTGAATCAAGTAGCTAAAGCATATCTATTTCTAGTTTGAGTGAAAATGGTAAGGAAAAAACAAATAAATTTTTTAGGTAAGTACTAGAGGCACTGTCACATATGACAGACAATATTTGTTTTATATATTGGATTTTTAAATTATAGACAATGTAGCTTTCAAGATTTTAGAATTTGAAGTTACTTACCAAACTATCATATGCATATACTAAATGCATGGTTTAAAGGTAAGGCTTTAGAGTAGACAAATCTAAGTTCTTACCCTGATTCTCACTTATTTGTTTTATAATCTTGGGTTAAGTGGATCATAGTCCTCTGCTATTATTAGATTTCTTAATTTTTGTCAATTTATTGGGTGTTAAATTGTGTCTTGTCATCTTAGTCAGTCTGTAATTATTAATTAAGCTAAACTTCTTTTAACAAGTCTTTTTATGTATAAGAATGTTTTGGTATATAACCTTCCCATATATAGAAGATTGTTATTTATATATAATTTTCATTCACAAGTTTCTAGTCCATCTTCCATCTAAATTGTATTTTGTTTTAAAGTATAAAATTGTTCATTGATTTATTTGTAACCTTCTTTGGTTTTTGTCTATTAAAGTCTATAGTACATATATTTATAAGCTTTCCAAAGAGTATGTTCTCATTTAAAAAGTGTTCTTGTGATAAACAGGAGTCTTACATTTGAAGAAGGAAGCCAAAGTACAAGTATTTCTAGTTTGAGTGAAAAAAGTAAAGAAGAAACTGGAATAAGTTTACAGGTAATATTATAGGCCCTATTGTTTATAAGAATATCTTATACCTTGGATTATTATAATAATATCATTTGATTTTAAAACAATTTCCTTATGTGACTAAGCATATATATAGATTCATGATTTGAATTTAGGTCTCCAAGTAGACAAACTTGAGTTTGAATACTGACTTGGCCACTTAGTTTTATAATCTTGCACAAATTATTTAACCTTTACAACCTAGAGTTCCCTCATCTGAAAGATGAAACTAAAACCATAAATGTTACAGGATGAGTTTGTGCCTTGGATTTCCTGCCATAGCACTCTGTCCATTTTCTTTATAACACATAGCTTATAGTTATTTCTTTACCAGGCACGGCTTCGATACTAAATGTTCCAATTCTAAGTACTTGATTTCATGTTTATGAATAGAAAGATAAATTAGAATTAACAAATTGTACCAATATTGATGAATTTATATTTAGAAACTATTTCTTAGAGCAAGAAGTATAAAGGCAGATAAATTGCTTGATCGGCAATACAGCTTTTCTTTTTTATGCTTTTTCTACTTCCATTTTTATTTTACTGGTAATTGTTTTGATTGAATCAGTCTTTCATGTATAAATTTTGCAAAGATTTGACTAATCACACTTTTCCAAGTGAAGCAGTTTTGAGTTTTCTATGAAAGAAAAATTTGTGCCTTTTATTTTTACTGGTTTCAGTTTTCAAGAATCAGACTTTACAGAATTTTATTTCCCATGTATAATTTTAACTGGTGACAATATTTTTGTTTTTGTGATTATTTTTGCATGTGAAATTGTGGGCAGCTCTTCTAAGGTGTACTACTATCATTTGGTTGTCATGGATCAGTTGACTGTGTTGTTGATCTAAGCCTTTAGTATATACGTGAATTTCTTTTATTTACTTTATAGCCCAGCATTTAGAATTAAGATTTGTGTGTTGGTAATGATAGTTTAAAGTTTGCTAAATTCATACAGTGATTTTCCTATTCAATTTTTTGGTTATATTTCTGCTTTCAGGATCTTCTCTTAGAAATTTATAGAAGTATAGGAGAACCAGATAGTCTTTATGGCTGTGGTGGAGGGAAAATGTTACAACCCCTTACTAGGTAAACTACTTTTTTCTATATAATGGTTTTTCTATTGATGAAGGAGTTACATGCATGTAGAACCAAAAGATTCTTGAAAAATTTTTTATAGATTACGAACATATGAACATGAAGCAATGTGGGGGAAAGCCTTAGTAACATATGACCTGGAGAAAGCAATTTCCTCATCAACCCGCCAGGCTGGAATAATTCAGGTACATTTTTTTTTCTGCTTTGGTACAGCCATCACTAGTGTGGTGCTGATATTATTTCAGTATGTCAGTGGAATGTTTAGGCAGCCAGATAAACTCCAAAGATATGCTCGGAAGTCATGCTTTTTCAGGTGTGGCTAAAAACCAGAGATGCAAAGGAAATCCAAACAGGTCATTGAGCTCATGCATAGTGTAGATTGGTTAATCATAACTGTTTTTAGCTGACAGTAGGAGATATTTCTATTTTCCTCTCTCTGTCTTTTTCCTTTTTCTTTTTGCGGTATGAGATATCAAACTCAGGACCTTGTGCTTGCCAAGCAGGTGTTGTACTGCTGAGCTACATCCCCGGCCCAGTAGGAGATATTTATTATTTGTTGAGTGTGTATGATATGCCACGTAGTGTACAATACTTAGTGCTTCTGGAATAGCTCATGTGTACTGTTTCTTACAGTTTGCATTGTAGTTGATCCCTGAAGCTATCATTTTTATTACTGGCTAAGACTCGTTGGCCGTTCTCCCATCAAACAGTAGCTTGTTTTGTGGTTTTGGAGAAAGATACTTGATAATAAGGGATTTTAAGTGATATTCTTAAGTTTTTTAAAGTAAATTTTTATGTTTACTGCGGTTTCTCTGGCTTTGTGTTTTTATTTACTTTTTAAAATAACTCTTGTTTAGGCTTTGCAGAATTTGGGACTCTGCCATATTCTTTCCGTCTATTTAAAGGGATTAGATAATGAAAATAAAGAGTGGTGTGCTGAACTACAGGAACTTCACTACCAGACTGCATGGAGGAATATGCAGTGGGATCATTGCGATTCTGTCAAGTAAGAAGAACTCTGTCCTTTTTATTTATTTATTTTTTAATTGTCTTCTCCCTAGGTCTGAACAATGGCTTTTATAAAAAAGAAAGAAATTCCATTCTACAAATATAATAGCAGTTGTTTTTTTATATTTTATAGGTTTTATTATCTACACATATGTCTGAATGCTTAGATAAGATAGCAATAAGCAGTTAACATATCTAATCCTGAATTTCACTTTTTTCCCCATTGAGACATCTCCATTCACAAGTTATTTTTATGTACTTATTTATGTATTTATTTATATATCGGGTTTGAGACGGTCTCACTATGTAAGTTCAAATTGGCCTTGGACTTACATAGCCCAGGCTGGGCTTGAACTCATGGTGATCCTCCTCCCTCAATCTCCCCAGTTCAGGGACAGTGGTTTTATGTATTTTTTTGGTACTAAAAAATTAAATCATGTTTCATTGTTTTCATAGTAAAAACATTGATTAATTGAATGGCTTTCAGGTTTCAAACTATAAGATCACTACAAAATTAGAGATATGCTCTTATATTTTTAAAAGTTTATTATGTAAACAGTGCTTGTATGTGTAAATCAGTATATAATATTCTCCTCCTTGCCTGGTGTTTCAGCTCCACAGCCCTCTCTGTATATTTTGATTGGCTCATGCAATTCCTACATCCATTCCTACAAAAAGGCCTTAAATGTGTCTTCTGCTTTTTCCTAGTTGGAATATGGGTGATCACTTCTGTGCTGTCTGTGTGCTGTTTTTCTTATTTATTGTGCAGGCTGAAACATAAGCACCATGATTCTAGGAATCTAATCTTAGTTATTCACTAATGGCTCTCCTGCATGTAGAACCTGATTCCTGGTTCCTGGCACATAAAAATGAATGGAAGAAAGAGAGCCGGGGGGGTAGGGACAACACAACTGGACAATAATATATCTGAGAAATGTCTTTATTTTCTGCTTGATGGATTTAATGGCCCACAAAGTTCTTTGCATTTCTTACCAAAATTTCCAAAAGTGTGTTTTTTATATGAAATCTTAATTTTAGTTTAAAATTTTGACCTTTGGTTGCCTTATTTATGCATGGCTGTCTTAGGATTTTGTTTTTCAATATGTATTTTTCTTTGATTCTTTTTGGGATTACTCCACAGTAAAGGAATAGAAGGATCTGGTTACCATGAATCATTGTACAGTGCTCTGCAGTCTCTAAGAGACAGAGAATTCTCCACATTTTTTGAGTGCCTCAGATATGCCAGGTATTGTAAAAAGACAGTTATTTTCATCATTTAATGTCATGACTTCTTTTCTCAAAACTTGAGTAATTTCATTTTAAGGATTCGGACTAGTGAAATCCAGTAAGCATAAGTGGCAGGATTGGATTTATATCTCAGTATGTTTGATCCCAAGGCTAATTTTGTTTCTACTGCTATTTCATATTCATTATTGCTTGTGAACATTAACTACTATTAGGTCAATAGCATTCCTGTCTTAAGAACTTTTTAGCCACAAATTTGAAGTATTATCTCCCTGCACACATCTTCTTTGTTTTCAAAGTATCTTTTTTATTTTGCAACTAGAGTAAAAGAAGTAGAAGAGTTGTGTAAGGGCAGCCTTGAATCTGTATATTCACTGTACCCTGCACTTAGTAGATTACAAGCCATTGGAGAGCTGGAAAACATTGGGGAGCTTTTCTCGAGGTATGTGATTCAAAAGACTAACTCTAATATGCAGTGTGTGATTTATTTTTAAATAATACATTAAAAATTTTCTCAGTTCTACTTTGTGATATGGTAAATGTCAGTAGATACAGTCTAAAAATTGAAATCTCTTTGGGCCCCTCAATAATTCCTAAGTGTAAAGGAGTTTCTGCATAAAATGTTTATGATCTGTTACTCTGGGGTCATGTGGAGGCAAAATGAAGGTTTGGTTCCAATGAATTTGTGTTACTGTTTTCTTCTGTATCAGGCAACAAAAGAGCTACTTTGTTTTGTTTTGTTTTACAGTAACAGTGATCGAACTCAGGACCTTGCGCTTGTGAGGCAGGCACAGTGCCACTGAACTAAATCCCTGGCCCCAAAAGAGATTTTTTATTTCTTAAGTCATTGTTTCATCATCTTTCTGCTTTCCTGATTCAGCTTCTTTTATTTCTTTCAACACAGTAGTCCTGAAGAATTAGACAGTATTGCATAGTTTAACCTTCTGGGAATCATACTATTCATACAAATCAGTTGTACAGTGTACATTTCTATTCCTTTAATAAATAAGGTTAATAGATGAAACCTTTGTAAGATGCCAGCTTTTTCTTCACTGCATTGTAATTTGACAGCTATAGTTGTGCATAGAGACATCCCCTATAGATAATAAGTTTACATCATCTCATTGCATATATTTCCTCCTTTGCCACAAAGAAAATAGAAGCAATATTAAGAGATATGAGAATTATTTATGATAGATCTGATGAATGTATTCTCATTCAGAAGAATCTTGAAGAGCTGCTTTTTTTTATTTCAGAGTGTTTTGGATCTTTTAAAAGTTCATTATTGATAGCCTCTCTGCTGACCACTTGGGGGTCTGACCTATAGCATTTTTAAATTTTCTAAAAATAAATTCTAGTCTTGTTACCACAGTGATTTTGTATTGTGTCTTAAATTTCAGACATGCATGATTTTTTTTTCACTTCTCTTGCTTACGCAAACTTTGTGATTTGGCTTTCAGATCAGTCAGAGATATACAACTTTCTGAAGTATATATGAAATGGCAGAAACACTCCCAGCTTCTTAAAGACAGTGATTTTAGTTTTCAGGAGCCTATCATGGCTCTGCGTACAGTCATTTTGGAGATCCTAATGGAAACGGAAATGGAGAACTCTCAAAGAGAATGTTTTAAGGACATTCTTACCAAACACCTTGTAAAATTCTCTATCCTGGCCCGAACTTTCAAGAACACTCAGGTAAATAGGATTCAGAATTATGTCAGCTCACTTGTCATGCCTGTACCCCAGCAATTTGGGAGGCTGAGGCAGGAGGATTGCAAGTTCAAGCCCAGCCTGTGCAATTTAGCAAAACTGTCTCAAAATGAAGCTAAAAAATGAAAAAGTATTGGGGATATAGCTCAGTATGAGGGCCCTAAGTTAAATCCTCGTGCCACAAAAAAAAAAAAAAAAAAAAAAAAAAAAAAAAAAAAAATAGAAAGAAAAGTATTTCCCATGTTGGAAGTAGATAAACCTGTGTTTAAGTCTTGGACAAGGTACTTATGGTCTCTTAACCTCAATTTCCAGTTTATAAAATGAGAAGATGCCTAACTCACTGTATTGATAATTACTCAGTAATTTGACACACAGAAGGCAAGCAGAGAGGTATTTGACAGTCTCTGACAAATATATGTCATGTATGATAGTGGCTGCTTTCAATATTAGTAATAATAGTGATAGTAAAAGTGTTTATTCACATGTCATTTTAGCTCCCTGAAAGGGCAATGTTTCAAATTAAACAGTATAATTCAACTGTTTGTGGAGTTTCTGAGTGGCAGCTGGAGGAAGCACAAGTATTCTGGGCAAAAAAAGAACAGAGTCTTGCCCTGAGTATTCTCAAGCAAATGATCAAGAAGTTGGATGCCAGCTTTACAGAGGTATGCTAATTTCTTTTGTCTTGCTTTTTTGCTATTGCCTGGATTAGTGTTTTACAGTTACTTTGAAATTGAAGTTATGTAGTTATGAAAAAGTGTCTGAAAGTATTTGTAAAAGAAGTTTTGAAACTATTTTACCTATTTAGAACAAGTCTGTCCATTCATCTTGTAATAGATTCATTTAATTTGTCCCATTTTAAATCTTTTAAGTTTCTCTAGAATTCAACAATATGTGGGAAAAAGATGAAATTCCTACTATAAATTTGAAATAGTAAGTACAGCAATAGAAGAGGAAATGCATTCAAGAAAAAAAAGCAAGTTGGAGCAATCAGATTGTCATTGCAAATACTTTTAAAGTATCATATCTAATATTTAATTTAACATCACCTAGTAGTTATCCTAAACTTATATTGGCAACTTCACCATGTTCCCAGCATATGATAGAGTAGAGGGATTTGTAGGAATCATAAAGAGATCAAAAGTTTAGAGGCAATGATGTCTCTCAGACATCATTTTTCACATGGGTGATAATTGTACTCAAGTTTATAGGATTCCTATGAGGATGAAATGAGTTATTACTAAGTTGTTATAAAGTGCCTTGCATATATAACTATTAAATAAATCGAGTTATTCCAATAATAATAAGAATTAAACCGTATAAGATGACTGTTTCATAAACTTACATACTTGGAATTATAGAAATAGTTATATGGTGAAAGAAGGTGGGAGAAAAGTACTTTAATCTGCTTTTTCTCCCTATGTGGACATTTTTGTCTAGTCATGATAATAAATGACATTTTACAGTTTTTCTTTTCTTAAACAGAGTAATCCAAACCTTAAACTTATATATACAGAATGTCTGAGGGTTTGTGGCACCTGGTTAGCAGAAACATGCTTAGAAAATCCAGCAGTCATCATGCAGACCTATCTAGAAAAGGTAAGCTTTTAGAGGAACTTACATCTTTTTGCCATAACCAAATGTATTTCAAAAGCCAATAAAAGTTTGATTTCATTCCTCCTTATACTATTACTGTTAGACCACTGTATAAACTTCAAGATAGAAGGAGGAACATTTTGAAAGTAACCCCAAGTATGCCTTGTTTCATCTCCCCATTTCCACCTCCAACTACTCTTTCAGTAAGTTGTTTATGATAAACTTTGTCCTTCTAATCATCTACAAAAATAGTGGAGTAAGAAGTATGCCATTCATATTCAGTCCCGCAACCCACATATAAGGCCTAGGACTTTGGTTTCTTCCTTATTCTTTTGGTTTAACTAACTTTGGAAATACAGTAGTTACTTCACTAAATAAGTACAACATGCAAAGTATGTTGTGATTGTTTTAAATTTTAAAGAGCTTTTGTTTTTGCACAGTTCTCTTCAGAGATTAGCTGTTACAGTTGTTTGTAAATTGTCAAAGTTGTCTTGTAAAGAGAATCTGCTCTTCATATTATTTACCTTTTGAATATGAGTTAATCTTTATTATGAGTTTACCTTGATCTATGTGATTCTTTAAATATATTTAGTGTTTTGAGATATAATTTTAATGGATTGTGTGTTCTTTAAGGCAGTGCAAATTGCTGGAAGTTATGATGGAGAAAGCAATGATGAGCTCAGAAATGGAAAAACGAAGGCATTTCTTTCATTAGCAAGGTTCTCTGATACTCAGTACCAGAGAATTGAAAACTACATGAAATCATCAGAATTTGAAAACAAGCAGGCTCTCTTGAAAAGGGCCAAAGAGGAAGTGGGCCTCCTAAGGGAACATAAAATTCAGACCAACAGGTAACTGAAGTGTTTACAAGTGGCAATTTTACTTTTACCAGTTAAATAAGTGAATGTGCTTTTGCAAAAAATGTCATTTGAACTTTTTATCTTACAGTTTTGAGCACTAAAGCTTGGCTTAATTACAGATAGGTTGTCTTGGTCCTATAATGGTTAATCACAACTTAAATTAATATGCAGTACACTGATTTACGTTCTTTATGAAGAATTCATTCCCTGGTTCTAAGCTTCTTGTGGATATATAAATGCTGCATTTTTGGGGTGTTGTTTTTTAGTGTAAAAGAGATAGGTGTTGAAATAAATACAGAAGAAGAGTCTTTTTTGTTGTAATTAAGTTCCTTTATTTAAATCTGCCTTGGATCTGTACATCTTAGTATAAGTAGAGAATTAAGTTAAATAGCTTGAATGGAGTCCACTTTGTCCCTGGTTGCCTAGAAGACTTGTGAATTGCACAATTATCACGAAAATAAATGTTCCCTTTATAATCCTTAGAATTTTGCTTTTTCTCTTGGAATAGATACTTGGTTTTTCATTTATGTTGTATATCAAGAATGTTTTGTGGTTCTGTAAAATTTTATTGCTTTGAGTTTAACTTAATTATCTAATTCTAGATACACAGTAAAAGTTCAAAGAGAGCTGGAGCTGGATGAATGTGCACTGCGTGCACTGAAAGAGGATCGTAAACGCTTCCTATGTAAAGCAGTTGAAAATTACATCAACTGCTTATTAAGTGGAGAAGAACATGATATGTGGGTATTCCGACTTTGTTCCCTCTGGCTTGAAAATTCTGGAGTTTTTGAAGTTAATGCCATGATGAAGGCAAGTCTTGTTCAACTCAACATTTGAGCTTGTGCTTTAAAAACTTAGTTCTAAGACCTTTGATATCCAATTTTGTGTACCTCTTTGTATCTCCACCAATTAGTTTAGTGCTTAGGTACTTGGTAACTTCTCAATGATGCAGGTTTGTGTGGAAGTTAATTTATGTCAAGAGTTTTTGATATTTTCACAGTTAGCATAGGAGAGTTAAGTAGAATGTAGCACTGGATTGGGGAATTTGGAAAGCAGTTAAAGATGGAATCACAAATGCATTTTTTCCCCATTTTATGCTTTTGGGGGATTTGAATTATCTTTGTAAATGGAAAAAGGTTTTTGTTTTTGTTTTCTTTTTCAGTACTGGGGATCAAAGAAAAGACCTTGTAGGGCCAGGGATTTAGCACCTGCCTCGCAACTGCAAGGTCCTGAGTTTGATCCCCAGTACTGCAAAAGAAAGTCAGGACCTTGCACGTGCCAGGCAGATGTGGTGCCACTGAGCCACATCCCTGGCCCAGAAAAAGATTTTTAAGAAAATAAAACAGCAGTATTTCCTAAAGGTTTATTTTTTCAATGTTAGATTTTGGCAGTGACACCTAATATTAAAGATATGTCAACAAGATACAGTTTGAAGGTTAAAAGTAAAATAATTCTCTTGGATGAAAAGAATGGTATAAGATTTACAACAGATAACTAATCGCTGTCATGTTACTTTTCACATGTAGGGAAAAATAGTTACTCCATCACTTCGCTGACTTCCTATAAGCCAAGATCACAATAGGATTTAGATCCACTTTTGTTCTTCTCAGAGTCAATGGAATATAAGCAGTGCCAAGTTTTTCAGTTGGAACTACAATTTAATTTAGCAACAAATATTTTGACTTACTGCATCAACCTCAGATACCCATTAGAAAGACCTTGAGATAAGATAAGTGAAAAGCGAAGTTTTATTAATTGCTCTGTGGGGCTAGTAGAGGAACATTATTTTAGAATAATTTATTTTCTTAGATATGAGAATATCATGAGAATATTTGAAATGTATTGTTTCTTAATTTTGCACTATTTTAATGGTAGAGAGATGGAATGAAGATTTCATCATATAAGTTTTTACCTCTTATGTACCAACTGGCTGCTAGAATGGGGACCAAAACAATGGGAGATCTAGGATTTCATGAAGTACTCAATAATGTAAGTAGATCTAAAGATCAAAACAGTAATCAGTTTCTATTACCATGTACTATATAAAGCATATATTACTGTTCCTCTCCGGAAAATGAAAGTACAAATTTTTATATATATTCTCTCACTCCACTTCAGTTACGTACTTTCTGTCTTATTCATCACCTCTCTGGCTTTATTGTATACACACAAATAAACATCCTCCACCCACCGCAGTGTGTAGATAATAACATGCATTTTGATATTAAGTAAAATGAAAATGTGGGTAATATTTTTTAATGTGCACAGAACTAACAGTTCTTCATTTTCTAACAGCTCATCTCTAGAATTACAATGGATCACCCCCACCATACTTTATTTATTATATTGGCTTTAGCAAATGCAAACAAAGATGAATCTTTGACCAAACCAGAGGCAGCAAGAAGGAGTAGAATAACTAAAAATGCATCTAAACAGAACTCTCAGCTTGATGAGGTATTTGGATTAAACATAAATTTTTGAGTTGTGATATTAATTCTTTCCCAGAATATTCCTTTAAGCCTCAAGGATTTTAATAACAAGTGGTGATAATTGTATTTCATTTTCAAATTCTTTGGTATTATGATACCTAAAATTAGTTCAGAATTCTGAATGTTTCTCAAAAGCAGAGATATAATTAGTAGTTTACTTTTTGTTCTCACAGAAATGGACCAAGGGAAAAAATAGATTTTTTGAAAGGCACCTAAGTCATTGGCACTTGGGATTGTTATACTTTTCATATATTTCATTCTTAAGGTAATTGTTTAGCCTATATATGCAATTTATAGTCCTTTCATTGCTTAGATTTGTGCCTAGTTTTTAATCTCTTTTTATAACTTATGGAAAGCTTAAATGTTGGGAAGTTCCTATGTAATTTTTAAAAAATTTTTATTAATAGGATCGAACGGAAGCTGCAAACAGAATAATATGTTCTATCAGAAGTAAGAGACCTCAGATGGTCAAGAATATTGAGGCACTTTGTGATGCTTATATTATATTAGCAAATTTAGATGCCACTCAGTGGAAGACACAGAGAAGTATGTCTTTGAAAGCATAAATGTTGCTACTCCTGCTTCACTTTCAGTGTTACAGTTTGCAGTTCTCACAAATATCTCTTTATTTTTAAATACAGAAGGCATCAATATTCCAGCAGACCAGCCAATTAATAAACTTAAGAATTTAGAAGATGTTGTTGTTCCTACTATGGAAATTAAGGTAACTTACCACTAATTAAGCTGAATTCAACTTTATTAGATTGAAATGGACTTTTTATGTAGTGAATATTGATTAAAAGTTTTATGTGTTTCAGCCTAGAGGTTTTCTGTATTAGATTCCCTTGCCCAAGCCTTAAAATAATCAGAGGCTTCTGCTTTCTTTTTTTTTTTTTTTTTCCTTTTCTTTTTCTTCAGTTCAGCACCTCCCCTCTTTCTTATGAAATCCTATAGTCTGTTCTCTTCATTTTACAGAAAAAAGAAAATTTTCATATGGTTAGACTAATTTTGGACTTAGCAAGAATGGTCCCAATTATTTTTTAAAAAATTTACTATACTTTGCATAGTATTGGCTATGATGTATTAAATGATTAAATAATATATGTAGTAATTGACTATACATGATACATTTAGGTATATCATAGTGAAGTACCATGTGGGAAGGAATATATGTAATAATAATATTTATAGTTTACAAAATGATTATGTTAAATGCTTTGTAAATCTCTTTGGTGTGTACTTTAACTGATATGCTTCCAGCTATATCAGCTACTTTATTAAGCTGAATATTTCCTGAAAATGCCAGTTAGCAATTATGACCTAGAAACTTTCCCTCCTGTCTTTCCAAAATTTGCCTGTTTTTGTGAGAAATTGTTTTGTAGATGATTTAACATATGTAAATGACAATGCCTGAATTTTGATTTTTCAGTAACAGTATTCTAACTTGGTACACATGGTTTTGTTAAAAGTTACTTAGGAAATAAATACATTATTTATGTTTTTGGTTTTGTTTTGATTTGTTTTGTTTTTGTACCAGGGATTGCACTCCAGAACTTGATGCTTACAAGGCAGCTGGCAGCACCACTGAGCTAAATTGCTGACTGTGTAATTTGTAAAATCTTTCCACTGTTACACATTTTTCATTAAACAGAAACTAATGTTATAGCTCCCATACTCAGTCATTACCACACTGTCATTCATTTTTTGTTAAGAATTAAAACTGCCGTTTAGGGCCAGCGATGTAGTTCAGTGGTGCAGTGCCTGTCTAGTAAGCATGAAGCCCTAGATTTGATTCCTGGTATCAAAAAGAAAATAAAATTGCTGTTTAAAAGTGATCTTTCTTTAAATGCAAATAGCATATTTGACCTGTTTTGTTTTGTTTTGAAGGTGGACCCCACAGGAGAATATGGAAATCTGGTAACAATACAGTCATTTAAAACAGAATTTCGTTTAGCAGGAGGTTTAAATTTACCAAAAATAATAGATTGCATAGGTTCTGATGGCAAGGAAAGGAGACAGCTTGTCAAGGTGAGACTTGTTTTTCTTGTGTAGTCTCTTACAGGATTAATGACATCAAAGGCAAAAAATTTCAGTTTATATTTTTTTCCTGTGTTATTTGGGTCTCTGTCTTTATTCTGAATAACTACAAGTGAGGAAAATTTGTGGAATACAAATATATTTTCTAAAATCAGAATATTTGTCTCTCGTTCTCTCTTTTGACTCCAAAAGGCTATCATTACTGTGCAGTTGACTCAAGTAAAAGAATACTGTTAACATTAAAGACATAGTAAGGTGAACAGTCAGCTTGCTTGTTTTAAAAAAACAAGTATTTATTTTTGTACCAGGGATATTTTTTGGTAGTTATTTCCATGATTAGAACAAGTTGAAAACCTTTGCCTCTAATACTGGGCCAGGTGTTCTTTATTATACCAGAAAGAGAAGCATTGGCACTGCCAGGGAATAGTGGAGAGACACAGCGCTCTTCTACCAGGTGTTTTGCAGTGTGCTCTCAGTTTGGAGAATTTAGTTACTCTAATTACAGAAGGAGCTAGAGGAAACTTCGTTTTTCTATCAGTCGGCTTCCCTAATGAAAGAATGGCAGTAGAACTTATTTAAGATTGTTAAGATGGTCAGATTGATTTGAGTTACGTTTTGCTATCCTCAGATAACTCTGTCTTTTTATAACAAAGTGAACCATACTTATTCAGGTTTGATTATTTTGAAGGGCCGTGATGACCTAAGACAAGATGCTGTAATGCAGCAAGTATTCCAGATGTGTAATACACTGCTGCAGAGAGACAGTGAAACTAGGAAGAGAAAATTGACTATCTGCACATATAAGGTAACTAGTTTATATTCTGTTGCTTCACCAAGTAAAGATGCCATTTCTTATACCAGAAATCAGTGTTTTCTGTGAAGGACCAAGTAGTACATATTAAATATTTTAGATTTTTTGAGTCATGTAAGTCTCTGTCACATATTTTTTCTTTTCTCTTTATGACCTTTCAAATCTGAAAGGCCATTTTTAGCCACAGGCTGTAGAAAAACAGTTGATGCTAGCTTTACAGCCAGGCCATATAATGCCAACATCTGAGTTAGAAAATACCATTTTTAAGTTTTCTTTTTTAAAAAGTATTCATTAATTTTAACCATGGGTAATGTTTCTTAAAGTTCAACTGAAGTATTTTTCCCAGTCTTTTTTTGTATTTAGCAATAAATTGTACAGCTCTTATTTTTTAACAGTTGTGTACATAGAGAATTATTCTTACAGATTCTTACCTATAGGTATGTCTTCAAGCTATGTCTCCTATGGACAGAGAAATATTCCTACAACTTGATAAAATGCTTTGCACTGACTGATAGTTGAATAACTATCTACTCCTAAGTGACCATCCATAACCAAAAAGTATTTAATTTAACTTCAGGTGGTCCCCCTCTCTCAGCGAAGTGGTGTTCTTGAATGGTGTACAGGAACTGTCCCAATTGGTGAATTTCTTATTAACAATGAAGGTGGTGCTCATAAAAGATACAGGCCAATGGATTTCAGTGCCTTTCAATGCCAAAAGAAAATGATGGTGAGTAGCATTCAAAACTAAACTTTATTGAAAGATTATTTAATAGCTTATTAAAGCTGACAGCTACTACAAATATTAGAGAATATGTTTTAATTTCATGTGATAATTGTTTAAGATACTAAATTATAAAGCTAAGTTCACCAGGATAAAGTGAGGAAGGAAATTGTTGTTAGTGTATGTTTACAATACATAGTAGTTTTGTTCATTTTGGGGAATTAGATCATTTTGAGTCTCTTTACTCATCCCAAGTCTTCCCCTTACCTCGAGCCCCTTACCCATCTCCAAATCTGTTGCTTTGTTTCCTATCATCCCTCTCTTTTATTTTATTTTATTTAAATAATTAATTGAGATTTTAGATTTTCCATATGAGAGAAACCATTCAATATTTAATGTCTGATTTATTTCACTTAATGTTATGGTCTCAGTTTCCATCCATTTTCTTGCAGTGACATAATTTTGTTCGTCTTTACTGCCAAATAATATTCCTTTATATGTATAATACATTTTCTTTATCCATTAATCTCTTGATGAACATTCAGGCTGTTTTCAGAGCTTAGCTATTGTAAATTACACTGCTATAAAAATGGGTATGCATGTATGACTACTGTGTAGGCTGATGTCTTTTTTTAACTCAAAAGAGGTAGAACTAGATGAAATGGAATCTTCATACTGTGATTTCCATAGCGGTTTCACTAGTTCACATAGCTAGGACTCATTTTTTGTGTTCTTGATGATAGCCATTTTCCCTAGGGTAAGATGGAATTTCAGAGTTGTTTTGATTTGCATTTTCCCTAACAGCTAAAGATGATCAACATTTTTTCATGTACTTACGGATCATTTGTACTTCTTGTTACTGTACCTATTCAGTTCACTTGATCACTTTTTAATTGGGTCTTTTGCTTTTGTGGAGTTAATTTTTTTGAGTTCTTTATATATTGTGAATTATTAGTTCCCCTATCAGAAGAAAGGTGGGCTGGTACACACCTGTAATCCTAATACTTGGCTGATGCAGGAGAAGTGCCACAAGTTTGATGCCAGCCTGGACTACATAGTGAATTCAAGGTCAGCCTGAACTACATAATGAGACTCTGTCTAAAAAAAAAGCTGGCAAAATTTCTTTCATCTCTCTAGGTTGTCTCTTTACTCTGGGGATTGTTTGCTTTGCTGTGGAGAAGCTTCTAAATTTGATAGAATTCCATTTGTTTATACGTGATATTTCTTGTGCTGTTGGAGTTCTGTTCAGGAAGTCCTTGCCTGTGCATGTGGCTTCAAGAATTTCCTCTGTGATCTGCCATTTCAAAGTCTCTGTGTGTATGTAGGTTTTTGATCCATTTTCATTTGGTTTTAGTATTGGGTAAGAGATAAGATCTCGTTTCAGTGTTTTGCACATGAATAATCAATTTTCCCAGCACCACCTTTT